ACGAACAGTTCCTCAGTGCTACGCGGACGTGTGCAGTTGACTTCTGGTCACTCACAATTGAGGAGTGGAGTTTCCGAAGTGTCCATTGTGGTCGCAAATTAGATCGAATGTTGCTACTTATCTGCCCCACAGCAATGCAGTGACTTAAAAGGAAATAGGCTCCGTTCTGCATGACACGTCACGGTAAATGAGTGGTGCAAAAACGTAAATGAGATCAAGGCGCGTATGTGTACTTCCTTGTGCATGCGTATACAAGGGCGGGTTGTTGTGTGATCCTATATCAGCTAGTCCCGCTTCCTCCAATAGTTGAGCTACTCCGGTGCTTGTGACTTCTTGTCAAACTTGCCTTAGGCAGGCTTGATGTCGGGAAAGCAATCGCGCTATTACAACTTTTAAAGCGTTTACAACAGCGAAATAACAGCCTGTCATCGCACAGTGCAATTATGGTTAAGAGTGGGCCGTTCAATGCCCCAACCCATTACAAAAGTTTGTTCTTGTTTCCCTATTAACTGTGGCACATACCCACTTCTGCCATAATTCCTCATCGTCGTCAGCCACTGCACGGAAAATTGGCTCAAAATTCCTTGCAAGTCGATAGTTATAGCGCGAGAACAGAACGATGACCAAGATACAAGAAGGATACAAGCGCTAACTTACCAGTGAGTTTATTGCGCAGAGCGTGAACACATATAGAGGAGACAGTAAACCTTGTGACAAAAACCATGTGGCACAAAGAGCACTGCATGAGTAAGGGAAAAAAAGCAAAAGTACAGAAAAAGCCAAAGAACAGTTTATAAGGAACCAAAACAGAAAAGTATAAGTAAATAATATAACTACTTGCGCGCACTGACACCTTTGAGGAACATTAGTTCCTCCTCAGAGAGAGACATGGAGGGCGTGCTAATGCATGACACCTGTTTGCGTGCCATCTGCGTGGCTTCGACAATAACTCGGGTGCGCTCATCGTTGTGCTTGTACAGCGTTACAGTGTTTTTGAAAAGGGGCACACAGTTGCACGCTGTTCAGTGCTGAGCGAGAAAACCATTTTTCCTGTTTCTAACATTACTAGCGTGTTCTCTCATGGCGAGTTCCATTCGTCGAGCGGGAGCAAGCTTTCAAGCTCCAAAGCTGACAATCTGCGTTTCGCTGGTAGATTCGGAGCAAGTTCGCATTTTCCACAGGTAGATTCGGAGCAATCCACTCCGCGACGGAGCGTTCCGCGTGCTCCGTCTTGCAGAGACGGATCTCACCAGAACATTGAGAATGCATTGCCGTCATTTCCGGTACAGTCGGGCAGCTGGGTTGCCCTCAGCGTTTTTTGAGGTGGTCTAGTAACCCTGTGCTTTTGTTTACATTCCTAAAATTTAAAAGCGGTAGCTCTGCTGCTTTCCGCGAGACTGCGTAGTCGAAATGCGAGCTCTGAAGTGGCGACACAATTGTCATTGAAACGTCGAGAGCAGAAAAGAAACAGTTTCCAGTACCGGTTTAGTGACGTATGCGTAAAATACTTCCGGGGAGCCCTCACGCGGGGAATTCACTTGTTGCACTCGCAGATCTCCTTTGGCACACTGCGAGTGCTCGCTCCGAGATTTCGGTGGCCACTCCTGATCTACCAGTGGAATTCGCCATCAGTCGGTCGTTCATACAACTTCCGCTCGTTCCGACATAACAAGGACCACAGAAAAAGGGGTACTATTGACAACTTCCTGAGAGCATGCCACATACCAGTTTCTATGCTTTACTCTACGAAGTTACTTCGAAAAAGGAAAAAAGAAAAAATAAGCGCAGTTCCGTTACCACGCCTCTTAATGGAGCGCACTTCCATAGTCCTGCGCAGGGGAAGGGGGAATGGGAATTAAAGGGACATTAGAAAAGGACTAAAAGAAGGGTAGTGAAAAGCATTCGATCAGTCGCCACATAGACGCACGCAAGAAACCCCACGCCGAACACGAAATCCACGGAAAGACCACCGCGAACTGGGGGGGGGGGGGTTTGAAGTGATGTGCCCATGAAGGGAAAGAAAAAAAGAAGAAAAAAAGCAAAACCACTGGACAAGTGGAAAGAGGTTATAGTGCTTCCCAACTAACAAAGAAGGGGAGAGGGGTGTCTGCTCTGACGTTGCCGTGCTCCCGCGGGGGAGAGGGAAAAAAAGCCGTCAGGCAGCTCGGAGCGTGGAATGTAAACAAAGTCATGTGGGAGTGCAAGGGACGGGGACGAATATCCGTGTATCTAGGGAAATGAAACAAAGATACGTTCGACCGTCTCGTCTGCCTGACACTGCACACATGAAGGGCTGCCACTGACACTCTCTCTGAAGAGCCGGTCCGCGGTTCGGCTGTATCCAGTGCCAAGACGCAGCAAGAATGCATGAGCACGCCGATCAATTCCTGTGCACGGAAGGTGTGAGACAGGATTGCCGGCTGCTGCGCGGGGTCCGGATGAAGAGCCAGCCCGGACGGGACGTGGGATAATCTGCCGCGCCACATCGAAACTGCGCACGATGATCGTGGTGGGTGTCGACGGGGTGTGGGCGTCCTTTGCAAGCGCATGGGCTGCCTCATCGCCACGCACTCCAATGTGTGAGGGCGCCCGCTGGAAGGACACAGAACACCCACTTCTCACAACCACCGTAAACTTGCGCGTGAGGCGCTGCGCCATCACAGGTTCATTTTCTCCTTTCGCGAGTGTGAGAAGCGCCGCGCGAGAATCCGAGAAGACGAAGATTTATGGCGGCAGGAGCTCGGCGAGTTGATTGGCTGCCAAAATCAGTGCTGTGAGCTCAGTGGTCACTGATGACGCCAGGGGGAGAAGACGGCACTTTCTCACGCCTCACAGTGCTGGAATGATGCTGACAGCAGCAGACGAGCCATCCTTGTTCACCGAGCCGTCAGTATATACATGGAGGTGGTCGGAGTACTGCTCCTCAATCAGGGCGCAGGTTTCTAGTAGTAGGGCACTTCGAGGTGTGTGCCCCTTGTTGCGTATTCCAGGAATTCTGCTTAATATGGACAGCCGGGAGTCCCAGCGAAGAGGAATGAACAGGAGTCCAGAAACAGGAGAATCGGAGATGAGGGAGGCATAGTCCAGCGCGCTGCTGCCCTTGCCAGTGCGGGGCAGCGACAGGAGCCGATTAACCAGTGCTTTGCCCCATCGCGTCATGTGCACGCGTTCAATGTGGCGCATAGCACAGGCCTTGGCTCTGAGCGAGAGGGAAAATTGGTTGGTTTCGGCGTAGGTCATGCCCACTGGTGAAGGACGAGACATTCCAAAGAGGCGTCGCATGACGCCACGTTGCTCCGTCTCAAGAGTCTCCCATTAAGACGCTCGCAATGCGACCAGAGAGAACGCATAGAGGGCCCTTGATCCGGCGACGGCGTTATACATCCGCGGGGCGATGCCAAGCGAGCGGCCTTTGCCCCGTGCGAGGAGTGAGGAAACCGCCCCTGCAACTCTGTGAGAGCTCAGGCGGTGGTTGGCAACAGCTGGCTTCCAAGCTTAAGCAGTGATCTAGCGTGATTCCGAGTTAGCGTAGTGAGCATCGCCTTGGCAGAACGCGTCCCCGGAACGTAAGGCGGCGAACCTCGTATCGCCCCTTGAAGGAGGGGTGGACAAAATACGCTTCAGTCTTGGCAGTGGAGAGATGAAGCCCAATGTTTGACATGAAGGCATTCGTGGCCTCGAGTGAGCTCTTGATGCTCTGTCTCACCTGCTTTCCACGTGAAGTGGGTGCACTCGTGAAGAGGGGGACGTCGTCCGCATATATTGTCACGAGCGCCAGGTACTTCAAGTCACGAGGTTGATAGTCCACGATGCGCACGAGGGCGGGATTAAAGAGCATGGTACTCGAATTACTGCCCTGCGAAACAGCAGCAGTAGACGGGCGAGGCATGCTGAGGTCGCCAGCAATGCAGACGCGGAAGGTTCTGCCACCGAGTAACTCCTCGACGTACCCGAGAAGTCTGCCACAGACACCCATTGAACGTAGAGCGTCCAAAACAGCCGCATGAGGCAGGATACCGAAGGCACTCTTGATGTCGAGGCGAACCAAGTACACGGCGTCACCATGGAGCTTTGCGTCCTCTCGGGTGGTGACAACCTCGAAGATGGAATCCACGGTGGATCGGTGGTTACAGAATCCGCTCTGCTCGATCGCCAGGCAATTGAGGGCAGCAGCTATTCATTCGAGTCGCTTGCGAGCCATGGCTTCCATCACCTTCCCAGCAGCTGATATAAGTGTGACCGGCCTTTACGACGTTGCTTCTGACGAGGGTTTGCCCTCCTTGCGAACTGGGATGACGATTGCCTCTTTCCACGTCACCGGAAACGTGCCAGAGCGCCAGATGCTGTTGTATCCTTCAAGCAGACCAGGAAGTTGGCTATTGTCAAGGTTTCGCAGCATCTCGTACGTGATTTCGTCACTGCCGGGCGCTGAACGGTTCCTTCGTGTCTCCAGGACGCGGCGAAGCTCGCCGTGGGTGAAGTCCTCTGTACACAGGGCCTCAACCGGCCGCGAAATCTCCGACAGGGAGAAAAACCGCTCCGGGGCAAACAGATCGGGCCGGTGATGCGCTGGCACAGGGAGGGGGGAAGCGGTACTGCATTGGGGACGAGCACAGGCGCCCGGAAGGTGTCGGCGAGTAGCTCCGTCACCTGCGCCGTGGTTAGGTTCAGGGCGATCGCGATGGAGAGGACCGGAGCCTTCGGGACCCGTGGTCACAACACGGCCCCAAATACCGGCCAGGCATGCCAGTTGTAGCGCTGCATGCTGATTGAAGGTGTGGCAGAGGCTGGGCCAGCTTTCAGCGCAGTGATGGTGGGCGTGGCGCCTACACACCACGTCGACGCGGTTGTACGCCGTGCAATCGTCTGCCCTTTCGGAGCGCTCAGCTCGGCGTCGAATCCGACGATGAGCGGCCCGGAGGTGAAGTTGTTTCATATCCGGAGCCGACATGTGAGGAGGAATGCGGCACTTCATTGTAGCCTTGCGCGCGCACCTTGCAATGTGTGCTACCGCGTCTCCACCGACTGGCACTGAAGGAAACAGTTCGCGATACCGCGAGAAGTTCACCACTGAGTAGGCGTGTGTCTGATCAGTGCGAGTGCAAAGGGGCTCGAGGCAGATGGGGTAGTGATCCGACCCCTCCGTGCGGGGTTTCGGGACCACCATTAGCGGCAGTCTTCCGTGACAAAGGAGATCGCACTAGGAGCCGATCTGAGCCTCAGGAAGGTATGCCTGCCATCGTTCAGAATATGTAGATCGGCAGCGAGAGACGTATCCAACACTTTCCGGCCAGGATCGTTCACCCCCGAACTTCCGCACACAACTGTCGAGGAACCCAGGCGGCCCACCAGTCATACGATAAACTCGGGATCCCAGAGTCTAGGGAAGCGCTCGTAAACACTGACTATCACCATGTTTTTCGCACCAACACGCACTCGCATCACTTTCGGCACCACTTTCATCGCATTCGGCACCGATCCTTCCTATTATTCCACCTACAGTACACATTACGGTGGTGCGATTTCACACGCCTAAAATCCGGCAAAATTCATCAGACCCTTCACTGATGGTTTCTCCGGAGTACAACCGTTCACTTGTTAATTTCCTGGCAGAGTGAACTGTCTAATTCAAGGATGATGTGTGTTGGCATCACAAAATATTGTTGCCGCGTTTCATCTCTCATGTTTACTTTCATAGATTCGGGTTTTCAATTCCCCTATGTGCATTTACTATAATCAAGATGATACACAATTAGTCATTTTTATTATATTGTCGCCGTTTGCATTTATTCAGCAAAAACATGCTAGCACAACCTCTTCATGAACTGAGCTTGCATTGATCAGAACACGCTGTTCTTTCTTTTGGAGCCTCTACAATGGGGTACAGCCACAAGGACGTTTTCTTCGCCATTCAGGAATACATCACTGCGACTAAACAGTTTTCTTGCTAAGCTGAGGGCTCACGGCATATTTTTCAAATTCGCAATTGGAACGTCAACTAATGAATAAATAACTAGCGTTTCTACAAATAGAGCAGTGCAGAAAGTTTTGGGCAAATTCACTCTATAATCGGCCAATTTCTTCATTTGGTTATGAAGCGTGGAAACTTGGGCAAGTTGGTAGGACATAACTGAATTCAGGAACTGCGCAACCTACAAGTAGTTACTTCGTAACTACGGAAGCGAAAAAACAAGGACAGAAAAGAGCGCTGACTTTCAACAAAGATTTAATATCGGAGTGAAGTACATATATAGGCGAAAAATGACGTGAAAGATCTATATTATTCTCTTCCACATAACGAACTGCTCCAGTGTTTAGAAGAATGCATTGATTCGTTTGGGTCGATAAACTTCCAGAATGCGTCAGGCATGCCAGTACAAGGTTTTCTGGAATTGCTTTCATTTTATTTAAAGTCAACGGTTGCATCTTGGAATGAGCAACATTTTATTCAAAAAAAGTGGCATTTGTATAGGTTCCTGTTTGGCACCAGTCCTGAGTGACATCTTTCTCGCGCATAAGGATCGCCACATTCAAAAAGATCTCGACTTGTCTCTCGTTGTGAAGGTCTGTAGGTTTGTTGATGATTTCATTGTATTTATTGATTGTTTGGATACTGTTTTTGGAGTTGTTGTCCACAGTCTTCTAGATTTGTTTAAGAAGCACTTGTTTCCTCTTGAACTTACGCATGAGTTACCGTCTGGAAATTTGATTAGGTTCTTAGACCTAACACTCTGTCTTAGAAGTACTCATTTGTGCTGGCTGTTTTCACCGAGAAGTGGTAAACCCCTTTTACCTTTCTACTCAGCTCATTCAAAATTGGTGAAAAGGGGTATCATTAAAGGTTGCCTGGTAAACGCTCTCAAGAGGTCATGCCCGCACTCAATACAATGCAGTTTTAAAGCACAGGTAGAGCGCCTCTTAAGCGCCGGTTACTCGAGCGCCCTGATTTCTGCTGTTGCGGAAAAACTTTTGAAGCAAATTAAATATCAAGGAGGGCGATCTCAGCCTCAAAACGCGTCTCTTCTCATGAAATATGTTGCAGTTCCGTATCTGCATAACGTGTCGCATCGGCTGAAAAAAATCGGTAAACGCGCTGGTGTTACTGTTATTTTTACCGCCCCAGAAAAGCTTACAAAGCTTTGTAAGCTGGTGAATAATCCAGCTGCTATTAAAGGAAGATGCACTGTGAAACACGGAACGCGCTTTGTACCTTGTGTCATTGGTGTCGTGTATCTCATTCCGCTTTCATTCGGAATGGTATACATAGGGCAAACCGGAAGGTGCCTTAATGGCCGGTTAAGAGAGCACAATAACAATGTTCACAACGCAGTTCAAGGACACCTCGGAATCCACTGCAGAGACTGCGGCTGCATGCCAGTTTTTGAGCGTTGCGAGGTATTAAGCAAGCACAACTCGCAGGCCACACGTGAGATAATTGAAGCTTATCAAATAAACAAGTTTGACGGAAAACGTGTAAGTTGCCCATCGGTTGCATTGTTGAAAAAGGAGATTGCGTATCTCGATCTTTTTTAAGTTACATATGCATTTGTTTTCTCAGCCCTTTCAACGGGAGACAAGAGTTTTGCTGACAGTGTATCGCAGTTTGTTCCTGCACCCTTCTACGCATGCCCATTTTTTCTCAATTTTCGCCTATATATGTACTTCACTCCGATATTAAATCTTTGTTGAAAGTCAGCGCTCTTTTCTGTCCTTGTTTTTTCGCTTCCGTAGTTACGAAGTAACTACTTGTAGGTTGCGCTGTTCCTGAATTCAGTTCTTCATTTGGGTATGGGCTATGTGCAGAGGAAAACAACAAGAAGAACAACAAGAGCATTCACGGTGCGACGTCAGTAAAAGAAAAGAAAAAATATCCAAGACATCCATTGATAAGAAAAAACACGAAGATTTCGAGGACCGACCGGTAGTTAACACGACAATCCGGTCATCTCCGATGGAAAGTCGACCAATGAATTTCGGAGACAGAGAAAGCAGGAGATTTTGAGCCAGAGAAGATCGTGGTAAGTTCGAAGAGGACGTGGCGAGCGGAAGGTCGTCACTGGACCGGGCGCTGAAGATGGGCCGTTGGGTGTTGTACGCAACTTTCGAAGGCTTCGACCTGCCGGGCCCTCCTGTCGTCCCGTTCCCGCTCGCGGAAATCGTGGCAATCGGGTCCTGAACACTTGCCCAGGACCTGCGAACTTTGGTGCCGACAGGGAGCTACCGCCGTCGGGCTACCCGCCCGAGCTCTACGTCCAGCTGCTCGGCCAGGTTGACAGTGGTTTCTCGACGCATCGCCAGCAGCCAGCGTTCACTCATCATCCAGCCAGCCGCGTTGTAACGACAGAGCCATCACGTTCTGGTTCGGTTTCTCGACGCGTCGCCACCAGCCAGCGTTCCAATATAGCCACCAGCCAAACCATGTGCACTGCTAAAGCCGGAAAAACCACGTTCCCGTTTCTTACGCGTCGCCAAGCCGTCAACGAGTTAATGAGACCGAACTGATGTCTTCGCTAATCCGCAACTCAACCATCTCCGGATTGAATAGCTTGTTTTAGTTAAATTGACTTGGGCTTTGCTTGTAGCTCGGAATGTTTTACCGCGTGTAGTGAGCTTTTTATTAGGTGTTTCGGTTCTGTGGGGAAATTCCGTGTTTTAACTTTTCTATTAAACATTTGTGTGGCTTTTGTTGTTACAAACGGCTTCGTCCTTCTTTAGGACGCTCGGAGGTTCAAACCTAGACAGCTCTTACGAACATTAAAAAGAACCTTCCATATTACACACACCAATTCATTGTACAGAATGGAGAAGTAATTGGCAAGATCCGATGCAGTGACCATAGAATGGTAAGAGCTCGTATTCACGTAGATTAAAAAAAAGCACAGACAAAAACTGATACGCAAGAAACGAAAAATGAACTATAGCGGTGAAAGCGAAAATAGAGGAATCCAAAGTTTCGCTTCAGAATAGATTCGAGGCACCAAACTATGTAACTGACGTTAGCGTTGACACAATGAACGATAATCTTACAAGTATCACCAAAAAGAGTACACCAGAGGTTGTAGGTACAATCACTAGGCAGGACACTGGCAAACTATCTGAGTTGACGAAAAAAACAACGCCAGGCCAGCGCGGAAGGTCCAGCAAAATCACAGCAAAAGCTAGAACTGCGGCCTTTCAGAGCCGTTTGTAAAAATCAATGGGTAACTGTGGCACGCACACTTACTCGGTACACACTTCGGCATTATTAATAGTTTCCGGGTAGTAGGCTAGCATTCCCTCTGCTATCCTTCGTCATTCTTTTGAGAAGCGTGGTATCTGCTGAACACTTGCAAGAAATTTTCTGTCAATTGCCCATGTAGTGGCTGACGACGATGAGGAATTATGCCTGAAGTGGATATGCCCCACAGTTATCATGTGATCAAAAAAATGGCAGCATATCCACGGGGTGAATGATGGAGAGTGGGGCGAAGCATCTGTCCGTCCATACGTTCTTGCTTCCGTTCGTCCATGCGTCCGCCTGTGTGACCGTCCGTGCCTTCATCCGCCCGTCCGTGCGTGCGTCTGTTCGTGCGTCCCTACGTCCGTCCTTGCGTTCGTCCATGCATCTGCCCCTGCGTCTGCACATGCGTCCATCCGTCAGTGAAGCCATCCATGCGTCCGTCTATGCATCTGTCTCTTTGTCCGTTCGCTCATCTAGTTACACTCCAAGTACCACCATCTCGCATCTGTTTCTCATAACTTCGTCCGTCTGTGTGACCGTCCATGCGTCCATCCGCCCGACCATGTGTGCATCTGCTCATGCGTACGCACGTTCACCCGTGCAGCCATCCGTGCGTCCATCCATGCTTCTGTCTCTGTGTCCGTTCGTCCATCTAGTCAACACTCCAAGTACCGCCATCTCGCAATTTTTCACCATATATTCCGCATATGCAAGCCCCACCATCTTCTGGACATTCCAAGGATTAAACGAGAGGGGGCACTCGCACACTTTCTTACGGCTTGCGCGTCTTGTCTACTTGAGTTTGAGTTTGAGTTTATTCAACCGCGTGACCAGTACACGAAAATACACTGTATACGTGGTTTATTGCGAAGGGAAAAAGCTGCATTTCACAGCTTGACTGGCCCCTTCACCCAGAAAAAAATCTAAACTACAAATTTACAAAAAATTTGCTTCCCACCTCTAACCACCTCGAGTTCATGGTATATACTAGTTCACTGTATTTATGACACTGCAGTTCAACGCTCGCTAAACCTTTCTAAAACCAAGGAGGTTACGCTCAGCGAGTATAACCTAGCAACCCTATCTTGTGAGATAGTGCTCAATGTACATGCCAATGACTTCTAATGGGAAATGAGAGACAGGAGAACTCGGCTTTTAGCTAACGGGCACGCTGCGAATTTTTTATTGTTCGACAACGCACAAGAGAAATCTCCCACCGGCACCACCATACAGGTTAAGGCGTAAGACTTGTTACGCACTACGACTACGACAAAAATTGAACGGGTGCCGCTTTGAGGAGCATTGCCCCTAAAACTAGCTTTTGTAGTGGTTTGGAGCATTGGACGGCCCACTCGTTACGCTATTCGCATTGTGTCGTGCCTGGTGTTTATTTTTCTGTTATAAAACGCCTCATTACTCACATTAATAAGATTCCTCTCATAACATCAAGCTTGCCTAAGGCAAGTTTGCGAACAACTCCCAAGCTCCAGCATAGCTGAGTGGTGGAGTGCTGGGCTGACGCCCCGTGGAACGAAGTTGGAGCCCCACTGTATCCTTGGTGGTAGTTTTTTTGTTCTTTGTGCGATGGTTATTACTGGCACAGGTGGTAGTGGCGGCGGTGGCGGTGGCGGACAACTACGGTGCCGCGCCTGACCAGAGTCTTGATCTCATATGTCACTGTAAAATCTTTTTAAGAGTCGACATACCATAAAAGCCTCAAATGCAACTGATAAATTCAAAAACCTTTCGAAGTTATTTATAGACGTACCGTAGCCAACGTCAGAAATTATACGAAGGAGAGAATTGGGCAGGCTGTTAAAAGTGGCAGAAGCCTAAAGGCAAACTTATTTGTAGGAAAAAAATCGAATGTATGCAATAAGAAACAAGAAAGACAATGTCATAACCAATATGAGTAGGAGAGCCGACGTGGCGGACAAGTTTTACAGAGAGCTAGAAGCCAGAACAACCACGATAATATCGTGAGAAACATCCAAGGAATTCAACATCCTACCAGTAACGATATTGATTTGATTGATCGGTGGGGTTTAACGTCCCAAAACCACTATTTGATTATGAGAGACGCCGTAGTGGATGGCTCCGGAAATTTTGACAACCTGGGGTTCTTTAACGTGCACCTAAATCTGAGTACACGAGCTTACAACATTTCCCCCTCCATCGGAAATGCAGCCGCCACAGCCGGGGTTTGATCCCGCGACGTGCGGGTCAGCAGCCGAGTACTATAGCTACTAGACCACCATGGCGGGGCTACCGGTAACGATAGAATAAGTAAGCAAAGCCGTTGAAAGAATGTAAAAAGGCAGCTCAATTAAGCTTGTTGTTTACATAATTGGTGATTTGTCAATTATAGGATTTTAGCGCAACCTTGACTCTCACAAACACTCACACAAGCACTCACATCCACCGAGTAACACACGAAACGCAGCTGCGTGTCGCGTGTGTTACTCGGGTGGATGTGTGAATGCTTGTGTGAGTGTTTGAGAGAGTAAACGTTGCGCTAAATATTTACAATTAGGCAAAGAGGCAGAGCCACTGGTGAGGACAAGGTAACAACAGACCTCCTAAAAGATGGTGGAGAAATTGTGGTGAAAAAACTGGCTACCTTATATAGAAAGTGTATCTTAATGAACCAGAACCTTGGAAGAACGCCAACATGATCTTAATTTATAAAAAGGCACACGCCAAAGCCTTGAAATCTACAGGCATATCAGCTTACTGTCCGTTCTGTACAGACTATTTACAAGAAGTATAGATAACAGAATTAAGGTGGCATTGAAGTTCAATCAGCCAAACGACGAAGCAAGATTTCGTGCAGGCTACTGATAGACCATATTGATACTGTCAATGAGGTAATAGATTAATGCGTGGAATACATACATTCGCTATATATAGCCTTCATAGATTACGAAAAGGCGTTTCACTCAGTCGGGACATCAGGAGTAATGCACGCACTACGAAATCAGGGCATCTACATAACTATACTGAATGAAATCTACAGTGGATACTAAGCCACCATAGTTCTCCACATAGAAATTGACAGAATCACAATAAGAAAGGGTATAAGACAGGGAAACATAAACTGTCTAATGCTATTCATCACCTGTTTACAGGAGGTTTTCAAGAGCCCAGATTAGGAAGAGTTAGGGATAGGAGTAAATGGAGAGTATCTTAGTAGCCTGCAATTCGCTGATGACAGTGCCCTGATGAGTAACTAAGGGTAACAATTACAACTCGTGATTACAAAACTGGACACAGAAAGCAGAAAAGTATGTCTGAAAATCAACATGCACAAAACAGAAGCAATGTGCAGCAGTCTCGGCAAAAAACAGCGCTTTGCAAAAGGTAGAAAGATGCCGGAAAATGTAAAAGAATATTAGGACAGGTAGTAACCATGGAGCCAAACCATGAGCATGAAATAACTATAAGAATAAGAATAGGGTGAATCACATTCGGCAAGCATTATAAAATCTTGAATATTAATCTGCCACAGACCCTCAAGAGGAAGGCAAGTAAGCTGCATCTTGCCAGTACATACCTATGGAGCAGAAATCTGGAGGCTTACAAAGAGGCTGCAGCTTAAATTGAGGACGACGCAGTGAGCGATGGAAATGAAAGTGATCGGTGCAACCTTAAGAGACAAGAAGAGAGCAAAGTTGGTCAGAGAACAAACCGGGGTTAAGGATATATTAGTTGAAATCAAGAAGAAATGAACATGAGTCAGGCACGTAGCACGTATGCAGGATAAGCACGTAGGCAAGCAAACGCACGAAGGGTAGACATAAGATAGGTGGGCCGATGAGATTTAAAAGTTCGCACGTATAACATGGGAACGGAAAGCACAAGGCCGGATTGATTGGTGAATCATGAGAAAGACCTTTGCCCTGCAGTGGGCCTAGCCAGGCTGATGATGACATGCATGATTCATGTTACCGGCCAAAAGCTAACTTTCGGAACTCTGTCATTCCGACCAGACAGGCTTCCCTCAAACTTTAAACTTCATTAGCCTTCCTGGGGCGTATGGCCGACCTGTTGTTCAGCAGATTCGCCGTCTTGTGTCTTTGTCAACACGAGTGGCAGCGTTCCAAGGGCATCGTATATTAAACTCAAAATGCAAGACTTTG